GATGTTGCGCAATGTTGTGGTGATCGCGCCAGCGCGGATTTTGTCTGCAGGAAAAATGGTCCAAGGAATCGTTCGGTTTGTATGCGTACCGAACCGGAAGCCTCGTACCGAAACGGTTCAATAATTACGAATACATGTACCGTTACACCCCTAATTTACATATATCCGAGTCCTGATCGGGAGGTAACGTCCGATTCCGATCGAGTCTGAAACCACGTGATCGGGCCCGATTTCCGATCGTGTGATCGGATCGGGACATCCCTAGTCTACAGTGTATCATATCAATAATACAGTTGTTTCAGTGATCAGTCATACATTTTACTGTCATTCTTATACCCCAATATGTTTGTCTTTTCACTGCAAAAATATTTTAAAACAAAACATTTGGACTCTTTAATAACGAGGGTCAAAATATGCAATATATACTTTCAGATGTTATTTTTAATCATGCAACTAATAAAATATGATATTTTTGGTCACACGTCTTGCAAAATGTGCAGTTTGCATTGCTCTTGTGATGTAAACAGGCTTTAATATGTATTAAATATGTATGTATTAATATTATCTTTAATATTATACCTCTCTTTCACTTTTAGCCATCTTCCAGATCATCCAGAGCATCCGGCAGGGAATGTAAGCGCCGCCGGAAGCCGCTCGCACTGATCTTCCATGGAGACGCTTTCTTCTTCGGTTAATCTGTTCGTTTTTGTTTACAGCTGATTTCAGTTATGCGTGTGTGTGTGTGTGTGTGTGTGTGTGTGTTGTGAGGATTTTTTGGCTGCTCCTCAGGATGCTCTGATTTTAGTTTTTAATTGTTAAGTTTCCACTGATTCGTGTCTAGCTGTGTTTCCATCCAAAGTGGCAAATTTAAAGCAACACTAAGTAAGATTTTTTACCTTAAAATAATGTTTCCAAAATGGTTTCAGTGGTTCATTAAGTCGTAAAAGGATGAAAGGCACTTCTCCGCTTTGCGCTCCTATATCTGCTATAACCACGCTATGTAAGATGGCCAGATCAGGTCGAGTTTCTGTAGTTCTAATGAGACATAAGAAAACTACAAATTTGACTTGCTTTACGTCAAGCGTTACAATAGTCATTATTTTGTTTTTCTTCGTTTCTGATGTAGCAATACATCATACTTTCATGAAATCATGCAACATACTCTACCTTGTCTGTGGACATCGTTCACTCCAAAGCCGGCACTGGATAAACAGCGAGCGCGCGCGTGCGACAGTAGGCTGCGCTAGGCTAAATTATTTACCACAGCGGTAATGGACAATTCCGCTTCCAACCTGTAGGGAGAACGCTGAGGAAAAGTTACTTGGTGTTGCTTTAACTTGTGCGCTAAATTGGAATGTTGCATAAAACATTCGCAAATAAAGCAGCGTTTCCTTCTAATGTGTTCAAGAGAACAAAAACATCACGTACTTGGAACTTGCAGCAAAATATCAGTAATAAAAAATCAGGCTATTTTTTCGAGCGGAAACGCAAAAATGCTGTGACGCGATTGGTCCGCTGGTTAGTCCGGTTATCCAATAGGGCTGTCACTTTTGTGAAAAAATCGTGTTGTGAAATTTTTTTGAGACTTAAGTGTTCATTGAATCGATTGTAATATCGATTTTCCATGTCTAAAGACGTTTCCATTTTCAACACCAAATACAGGCAAATCCACGGACACCTAACAGGCGTTAGGACGAGCGTAATGAGGACGCTTGAGACGCACAAGTCAGCAATATTCCTGATGATTTATTGGCGTGAAGTTTCAGCACAATGACAAACAGGAGCGCAACATTCAGGGATTGAAGTTAACTCCCTCCAACCCGCCAAACGCGGGTAAAAATGAGCTTTGGCGGGAAACGCCGTCAAATCACGAGCCAATTTGGCGTTTCTGTGTTTACTCACTTTGCTGGGGAAGTTCGTGTAAGACAAATCTGCGCGGATTTAGCGCAAATACGCACGAGTCCTCATGATATATTAAATACAGCGTATTGTACAGAATCTGCTCATTTCTGGCTTACTTGAACACACACACACACGTCACTACGCAACAAATAACGGCGCTTGTTTACTTGCATTGAAGTAATAGCGAATATTAAAAAGCATTTAGTGAACAGAAAAGACATTGTTATTTTCCAGCATCCAACATGTTCTGTGTGCTGTATTGATCTGTCCTAAAACACATTTTTGGTAAAAAAAAAAAAAGGCTGTTAAAATCAATTCCCTATTTTCGTTTTCGAAACTTGTGTTGGTTGGTCCGATTGTGCAATCGATTTTCGAACGTAAAGTGACAGCCCTATTATCCAATCACAGCCTCTGCTGAGTTAGTTGTTCCTAATCGAGGGATTTATTCGGTAAATGTTTTTCCATCGTAGTTTATGCTTATCAGAGTTTTATTTATAGTTATATATTATCGGATACAACATTTATCCTCCTCAATTGAGCGCATACTCTTTTTTATGCGCATTTTTTTAATTTATGCGCATTCCGGCATTTCCATCCAGCATTAATTTTTTTTTTAAATGCAATATCCCAAAATGTGCATAAAAATAGGTGTAAGGAAACAGCTATTTATGAGATTTTGTATGAACTCAGAGAAATGTGTGTGTTCACTGTTCGGACATCAGTAGCCATATGAATCTGCACCTCTTACAGGAAACTGATGCTCTGGAATAATGATTTTATACAAATAAAAGATATTTTCTCTATCGGCACTGTGTTTTACTTTTTTTTTTTTAATAAATACAGTGGTTTTCTATGAAGTAAAGTACACTCACCTAAAGGATTATTGGGAACACCCGTTCAATTTCTCATTAATGCAATTATCTAATCAACCAATCACATGGCAGTTGCTTTAATGCATTTAGGGGTGTGGTCCTGGTCAAGACAATCTCCTGAACTCCAAACTGAATGTCAGAATGGGAAAGAAAGGTGATTTAAGCAATTTTGAGCGTGGCATGGTTGTTGGTGCCAGACGGGCCGGTCTGAGTATTTCACAATCTGCTCAGTTACTGGGATTTTCACGCACAACCATTTCTAGGGTTTACAAAGAATGGTGTGAAAAGGGAAAAACATCCAGTATACGGCAGTCCTGTGGGCGAAAATGCCTTGTTGATGCTAGAGGTCAGAGGAGAATGGGGCGACTGATTCAAGCTGATAGAAGAGCAACTTTAACTGAAATAACCACTCGTTACAACCGAGGTATGCAGCAAAGCATTTGTGAAGCCACAACACGCACAACCTTGAGGCGGATGGGCTACAACAGCAGAAGACTCCACCGGGTACCACTCATCTCCACTACAAATAGGAAAAAGAGGCTACAATTTGCAAGAGCTCACCAAGATTGGACAGTTGAAGACTGGAAAAATGTTGCCTGGTCTGATGAGTCTCGATTTCTGTTGAGACATTCAGATGTTAGAGTCAGAATTTGGCGTAAACAGAATGAGAACATGGATCCATCATGCCTTGTTACCACTGTGCAGGCTGGTGGTGGTGGTGTAATGGTGTGGGGGATGTTTTCTTGGCACACTTTAGGCCCCTTAGTGCCAATTGGGCATCGTTTAAATGCCACGGCCTACCTGAGCATTGTTTCTGACCATGTCCATCCCTTTATGGCCACCATGTACCCATCCTCTGATGGCTACTTCCAGCAGGATAATGCACCATGTCACAAAGCTCGAATCATTTCAAATTGGTTTCTTGAACATGACAATGAGTTCACTGTACTAAAATGGCCCCCACAGTCACCAGATCTCAACCCAATAGAGCATCTTTGGGATGTGCTGGAACGGGAGCTTCGTGCCCTGGATGTGCATCCCACAAATCTCCATCAACTGCAAGATGCTATCCTATCAATATGGGCCAACATTTCTAAAGAATGCTTTCAGCACCTTGTTGAATCAATGCCACGTAGAATTAAGGCAGTTCTGAAGGCGAAAGGGGGTCAAACACAGTATTAGTATAGTGTTCCTAATAATCCTTTAGGTGAGTGTATATTTCCAAAAGTATGATTCTGACTAATTGGTTTGTCATTTCTGAGGTAAAATCTTTAAAGTGAACTGGAAATTAAAATTAATCTATTTGTTATAGATCTAATTGCATGTTTTTTTTTAATGTTCTGACCTTGTAACTCATAAAATTGATAAATTTGCCATTGATAGCAAATGTCCATTTTGTGATCAGAGGGAAACTATTTGTCACTGTTTTGTACATTGTGACAGGCTTAAAGGCTTATGTTTGATGCCTAATTTAATGTTTGTGGATTTTGAAGGAATATTTTCAAAGGTTGGTTTAGTTTTTGAAAAAAAAAAAAAAATTGAAAAAAAGGGCAACTTGTTAACTTTGTTATTGGAAAAGCGAAAATGGCTCTTTATCTGACAAGAAAGGGAACAAATAGGAGGTTAAGTTGGTCGGGATGTAGTACAAGTTTAATAAAAGTAATAATGATTTTTTAGATTTTTTATTTTATAAATTATGAAGAATATAGAGGAATGTGAAAATGTATGGAATTACAAAGAAATCTTGTGATTTGTTAGAGATGGTGAATTAATTTTTGCTAAATGTCTTGAGTAGGGAGTATGTTTGGTAATTGTTTTAAAATGATTTAATAGTGTTATAAAAAAAAAAAAAATCTCCCTCCCTCTCGCTCTCGCTCTCTCTCTCCCTCTCCCTCCCATTCGCTCTCTCTCTCTCTCTCTCTCTCTCTCTCTCTCTCTCTCTCTCTCTCTCTCTCTCTCTCTCTCTCTCTCTCTCTCTCTCTCTCTCTCTCTCTCCCTCCCTCTTCCACTTGCTCTCCCTCTCTCTCCCACTCTCTCTCTCGCTCTACCACTCCCTCGCTCTCTCTCTCTCCCTCTCTCTCTCTCTTTCTCGCTCTCCCACTCCCTCTCTCTCTCTCTCTCCCGCTCTCTCTTGCTCTCCCACTACCTCTCTCTCCCGCTCTCTCTCGCGCTTTCCCTCTCTGTCTCCCTCTCTCCCTCTCTCTCTCTCTCTCCCGCTCTCTCGCTCTCCCCCCCTCGGTGACGTCAGTAGTGTGAAGAAGAAGATGGCGGCGCTCGTGAAGGCGGAAGGTAAGTTGCGGACCCGTTTCTGTTACGGTGACGCGTTACTGTCAGCGCGCGAGCTGCCGTTAATCAGAACCCGTTCGCACGGCTCGGTTCGGTCCCGGTGCGTGTGTGTGTTTCCGTTACTCCTGCATTAGTGTATCGTGTGTGTGTGTTTATCCCGTCAATCAGTGTGTGTATGTGTCAGTCCGGGGCCTTGGGGTTTGTCATATGTATTTATGTTTATGAATAAAATAATTAAACTCATTCAGATGGTTTCGTTCGGTCCGGTCTGCGTCGACAGGCCTGTCTACATATAGTGTGTGTGTGATTGGGTCATTATGGGTGTGTGTGTGTGTATGTGCAGGAAACGCTGCGTTTATGGCTCTTACAAAAACTATTATCATATTTTTGTACACGGTCATGATTTTCCCCTGTATTATTGTTTAAATACTATGGTGAATATGGTAATAATTCAGTAGCATGGTCTGATACGATAGTACTGGTATTTTTCTCAACATCGCTTTATTTTAAAATTATGGGCATTAATAAACAACTGTCATTTGGCCAATTAACATTTTTCGTCATCTAAAATTTACTGACATTAATACACATTCATATTATATATTTTGGATTACATATACGGATTACATCATATACTCTGCTGTCTGCATATCAGCATCAACATTACATTATATTAAGGAACTTATAAATCGTTTGTCATAAATATTAGGTCATGTTTGATGACCATGTGACTGTTTTTCGTGTGTTAATCAATTGGAGGCGGGGCTATGCTGAATCTAGAGTGCTGATTGGAGGCGAATGTTTGTTGTGTTGATGTTGTTGTGAGGAATCTTGTAGGCTGATATTCCCTCATCAAGTTTGTGAAACTGATATTCCGGTTTATATAATCTGATTGATTGAGCTACATTTGTTGAAAAAAAAAAAGAGCCTGTGATGGAACATTGATTTCTATATCAATGCATTATTGTTTTCAATTCAAATGATAAAACATTTGTTTTGTAAATAAAAGTGTATGGATCATTTGTATCCCATAATGTGAGTCAGCTACATCACGCCACTGATATAATAATTCTCTAAGTTTTACATGCACTGATGTCTGTCAATCCAAACAAAAGTTCTGTTTCTAGAACATAGGCCTACAGGTGAAACTCAAAAAAAGTGCAAAAGTTAATTTATTTCAGTAATTCAACTTAAAAGGTGAAACTAATATATTATATAGACTCATTACATGCAAAGTGAGATATTTCAAGCCTTTATTTGTTATAATTGTGATGATTATGGATTACAGCTTATGAAAACCCCAAATTAAAAATGTGAATATTGTGAAAAGGTTTTCATAAGCTGTAAGCCATAATCATCAAAATTATAACAAATAAAGGCTTGAAATATCTCACTTTGCATATAATGAGTCTATATAATATATTAGTTTCACCTTTTAAGTTGAATTACCGAAATAAATGAACTTTTGCACGATATTCTCATTTTTTGAGTTTCACCTGTATTGGTTTACATGTGAATCCCATCTATTCTGAGCTTTTTTATTTATTTACATAATTTAGAAGTGTCCATTTTGTTTTATTATTAATATTAAAATAATACAATTTCAGCATTCCGCATGTTTTATGAATGTACTTCAGGGATCCTGTTCTTTTTATCTAATGACTTTCCAAGTCGTTCCTGATTTACCAGATGAAGGATAAGGATTTTTCTAGAGATGCACGATATATCGCCACCGTATCAGTATCGGCCAATATATGTTCATTTTTAATGTTATTGTTATCAGCCTGAGAAGAAAATTAAAGCTGATAAATAAAATAATGCATTATTTCCTTCAGCTGAGACACTTCAGATGTGCACTGATCAACATTATGATTTTAAATTGATTGAAATATGATTGAAATCACTTTAAAAGAGGAAAATACAGTTCAGTGCAACATGTGCAGCGCAAGTCTGTCATATCGGCTTCATTAAAAATTATGAGAACATCATAATTGTGTGTTTGAGACATGGCTTTTAATAGTGAGACTTTTGTTTTTGTAATCAGACTCTCAAAAATTATATACAAATTTGGATTAAGATTTATCAGCCGATATATCGGTTATCGGCTTTCAAATATAATAAGTTATCGGTATCGGGCAAAATGTTCATATCGGTGCATGACTAATTCAATAATTTTACTCACAAGTCACAATTTCGACCTGATATAAAATTTTAGAGCTTGGCATAACTAGTTAAATGTGTGTTATTCATTATAAGCTTATTTTAATTCTCCTTTTGTCATCTTGCAGCAGAAGCGGATCGTAGAGAAATAATCGATTTAAGATTACGAGGCTTTTAGGAAACGCAGCAATGAAATCGTTACGGACCTCTTTGAAAACATTGCTATATAATCTGGTGACGTTAGTGCACAGATATTACACAATTCTTGTTTTTTTTGTGGCACATAAAAAAAGTGTAAAATAAAATGTATGTTATGGTGCTTTATTAAGACTTTAATCATTAGCTCTGGCTTTATCGGTGATATGAATGTTTGTCGATTCGCTCCGGCTTCTAAATGTAATGTTTTATGTATTTAATCAGATCATCTTTTGTCATCACATGGGAAGCATTCAGATATCATCAGGACACATGAATATGAATATTTCTGTCTGTGTGATCGAGTGTTTGCTGGTTTCTGGAGGATGTTCATTGAAACGAACAGACGGTTGAGTGTTTGGATCAGAACCGCTCGCACCTCAAACCATTAAACCAGCAGCACTGAACTCACAGGGAGCAAACACATCAGTATTATATAAAAGAAGTGTGTGTGTGTGTGTGTGTGTGTGTAAAAACTGTGAGAGTATATTTGATCACCCACTGCTGTGGTTACTAGGCAACACAGACGGCAGATCCGGAGAGAGCGAGAGACTTTCTATATAAATTCATCAGCATTCTAGTTTTGTTATTTATTTTAATCCTACTTTTGTCGGGTATAGCTTTTATTTTATTTTTCTATATTTCTTTATATATATATATATATTTATGTATGTGTAGTCTGTCTTGTTACTGCAAGTCCTGTAGTTGTAAATATTCTTACTGACAATCACAACAATAAAACTGTGGTGATAGATAGATAGACGAATAGGTAGATAGATAGATAGATCTACAGACAGACAGATAGATGGATTGATAGATAGACGGACGGACAGATGGATAGATAGATAGATAGATAGATAGATAGATAGATAGACAGACGGATAGATAAATAGATAGACAGACAGACGGATAGATAGATAGATAGACAGACAGACAGACGGATAGATAGATGGATAGATAGACGGATAGATAGATGAATAGATAGACAGACAGACGGATAGATAGGTAGATAGATAGATAGATAGGTAGATAGATAGATAGATAGATATAGATGGACAGACAGACAGACAGTAAAGCATTATGAATTATAAAATAATAATCCCCACTATATACACCCCAAAATCATAACATTTTGCCCCATCATTTTTGAAGTGCCACCCTTGACTTACATACAAACCAGTGATGCACCGATATGAACACTTTGGCCGATACCGATAACCGATAATCCTTTATAGCCGACAACCGACATATTGGCTGATAAATCTTAATCCAAATTTTGATATAATTTTTTAGAGTCTGATTACAAAAACAAAAGTCTCACCATTAAAAGCCATGTCCCAAACACACAATTATGATGTTCTCATTATCATTTTTTATGAAGCCGATATGACAGACTTGTTGCACACTTGTATTTTCCTTTTTTAAAGTGATTCCAATCATATTTCAAATCAATTCAAAACAATCATGTTGAACAGTGTGTATCTGAAGTGTCTCAGCTGAAAGAAATAATACATTATTTATCGGTTTTAATATATCGGCCAAATTTTCTTATCGGGCCGATAACGATATTATTAAAAATGATCATATATCGGCCGATACCGATATGGTGACGATATATTGTGCATCCCTAATACAAACAAGTGCATGCGTTTAGTAAGCCGTGTAATAATGAAGCTTGTATTACAGCCTCTTACTGTATGTGCATGTTTTCTCTGTGTGTGTGTGTGTGTGTGTGTGTGAGACAGTGTTGCAGTTTAGTCCTCCCTGGATCGTGTGACTGCCCTCTGCAGGCTGAAGGGGTTAATGAACTTCACCATGAACAACAAGGACGCCATGACAGAGTCAGGTCAGCCTCACACACACCTTTAAAATATGCATGCAAGTCCACTAGAGCTGCACGATTCTGGAGAAACTGAGAATCAAGTGGGTCTTAAAATAAAATAGAGATTATGATTCTCCCGCGATTCTGAACTAAACAAAATAACGTAATTTACTAGATGTTCTGACAAAATGTAAAAAATATTTAATTAATTTGAAATAAAACATTTTTTACTCACTCACTCATTAAGACTTTTATTACTGGATGAATCAGTGTTTTTAAACAAATCTATTAAGTGAATGATTCAATGACAAACACATGTTTAACAGTCACTTGTCTCCACCTACTGGTGTAACGATGTAATGACACAATCATTATTTGAAGCGCCAAGTTTCTATTAAAAGGTGATTTACTCTACATTGATCACTACTGTAGACATCAGTGTTTATATCCAATCTATAAACTTTTATCTTAGTACTTCTGTGATAATCTGAATGATTGTAAGACAGAAATATTGATACTGTATGCTTGAAAAGTCTGTTTGTGAAACTGTTTCATATCTATACATGACAACGGCTCTCTCTGGCTCAGAACGCAGATCTGAATGTTCCTGTGATCGGACTTGTCAGAGGTTTAATAGACAGAGCCGAATGGTTCCCAGAATCAAGCAGAATCATATTAAAAGCAGTAATAATAAGTGATGCTGAACAGTGTTTTGCGTGATGCAGAGACCAGCGGTCAGATGAAAGTGTTTTTGCCCAATAAGCTGTTGGAGTGTTTGCCTCGCACGACGACTTTACCCAAAGAGAGACTGCGCTGGAACACAAATGAGGTGTGTGTGTGTTAGGGTCATTATAGCTTTTATTAAAGTTTTTATTTCTGTATTTTCTGTTTTCCCCTTAATTAGTGATGCACCGATATGAAGATTTTGGCCGATGCTGATAACCGATAATTCTTTATATTTGAAAGCCGATAACCGATATATTGGCCGATATTGATAACCGATATATTGGCCGATATCGATAACCGCTAATTCTTTATATTTGAAAGCTAATAACCGATTTATTGGCCGATATCGCTAACCGATAGTTCTTTATATTTGAAAGCCAATAACCTATATATTGGCCGATATCGATAACCGATAATTCTTTATATTTGAAAGCCGATAACCTATATATTGGCCGATATCGATAACCAATAATTCTTTATCTTTGAAAGCCGATAACCAATATATTGGCCGATATCGATAACCGATAATTCTTTATATTTGAAAGCCGATAACCGATATATTGGCCGATATTGATAACCGATATATTGGCCGATATCGATAACCGCTAATTCTTTATATTTGAAAGCCGATAACCGATATATTGGCCGATATCGCTAACCGATAGTTCTTTATATTTGAAAGCCGATAACCTATATATTGGCCGATATCGATAACCGATAATTCTTTATATTTGAAAGCCGATAACCTATATATTGGCCGATATCGATAACCGATAATTCTTTATCTTTGAAAGCCGATAACCAATATATTGGCCGATATCGATAACCGATAATTCTTTATATTTGAAAGCCGATAACCTATATATTGGCCGATATCGATAACCGATAATTCTTTATATTTGAAAGCCGATAACCTATATATTGGCCGATATCGATAACCGATAATTCTTTATCTTTGAAAGCCGATAACCAATATATTGGCCGATATCGATAACCGATAACCGATAATTCTTTATATTTGAAAGCCGATAACCGATATATTGGCCGATAAATCTAAATCCAAGTTTTTATATAATTTTTGGGAGCCTGATTACAAAAACCAAAGTCTCACCATTAAAAAACATGTCCCACGCAAACAAAAAAAGCACAGTAGTTCCTAGTCTGAACCAGTACAAGTTTTAAAATGAATTTTACAAGCCATGATTCAAGCCAAATTCGAATCATATTTCATAACCATCACGTGTGTATCTGAAGTGTCTCAGCTGAAGGAAATAATACATTATTTATCGGCTTTAAAATATCGTCCAATTTTTCTTATTGGACCGATAACGATAACATTAAAAATGAACATATCGGCCGATACCGATATAGTGGCCGATATTGTGCATCCCTAACTTTAATTTTAGTTAAAGTTTTTTTTGCATTTTTATTATTATTGTTTTTAATGTCTTGTAGTTTACATTTATTTTATTTAAAGGTGCCTTGTGTAAAAAAATCAACTCAAAATTCACATATTCCATAACAGATGGGGGCAGTATACCTCCAGAAGTTGGCCTACTCTAGTCTGTTTTTTAGTTTCGGGTTGTTAATCTTCTAAAACCGTCAAATCGTCCGCTTTGTCCCACCAAAGCCTATTTTGATCGGTGAGTGATGTAGAATAGAATGACTGCTGCGCTTGACAGGGCGCATAACGAGCAGAGAGAGAGAGAGAGAGAGAGAGAGAGAGACCCGGCCGCGCGCACGCACTCTCACGTCTTCAAACAACACGAGCGCAGTCCTCCTGCTCTCTCTCTCCCTCGCGCATATTAATCAAATCAATTGACACGATCGTAAGACCGCAGTTCATTTGGAGATTTTTAGAGATTAGAGACTTAATGAACAACATCTCAACACTAAATTATAATGGCCGGTCTCATATAGACGCGATTGACATCAGGTTCAAGTTCAAGTACGCCCACAAGCCGTGCGAGTTATTCGTGTACTGCAGTTTGGCTGGTGGTTATGTATGTTGCCCGCATACCGCCTCCCATGGCCGAAACTGGTATTATGACACCGGCCGGGCCGGCGCTAGTAATTTAGCATGCTAATTCAGGTTTATATCTCGGCAGCACTATAACTTGTCATTTTTTTAATGACATCATTGCATTTATTTCTTCTCATTCTTTTGATACGTGTAGCTCATTTGTTGGATATTTTTACCTCAATTTTTACATATGGCACCTTTAAAATTCCAAAAATGTTTTTTTTTAAATGGTTTTAGTGTTAGTTAATGATAATAACCCTGATCACGTAATTTGGTGTTCTGGGTCAAAAATGACCCGTCCTTTTAAACTGCTAATAAATCTCTCATCATGCTATATTATCACCAAACACTGGTCTTGTAAACGTGTTTTCTTCAGTTAGCACAGGTTTTGTGTGTGTCTTTGGACTGATTGATCGTAGCCTCATTGATCTGAGCTGATGCCCCTCAGTTTATAAAAGTTCACTCAAGCTTATTCATCTAACAGAACCTGATGTGCCTCAGCTCAGATCAACGACGCTACGATCATTCAGTCCAAAGACACACACAAAACCTGTGCTAACTGAAGAAAACACGTTTACAAACACATTGAGTCCAGTATCTGGTGATAATATAACATGATGAGAGATCATTTTTGACACGGATGTGAGAAAAGTACATAATTGATACATTTTTACAGTTTTTTTTATAGCCTACATGTGCAAAGTCGATAAGTTTAAGTCCAATTCAAAAGCATTTTTTAAGGAAAAAAACTCTTCGGGTCAAAATGTCTAGATTTTAATGCGAGTTTGTCGTGTGTTTGTTTGTGTTTCAGGAAATTGCGTCCTTCCTGATTTCCTTTGACAGACACGACGAGTGGCTTTCCTGCAGCCTTAAGACCAGGTCAGTGTGTCTGTGGGAATGTGGGATTGTGGGATTGTGGGAATGTGTGGATGAGGATACCCGGAGTGACACTTTTCTTCTGTGTAATAACGGACACTGATGAATTGTTCACTATCACTGCAAAAAACTTTGTTTTTACTTAAAGCATTAGTTCACTTTCAAATAAAAATGTCCTGATAATTTACTCTCCTCCACGTCATCCAAGATGTTCATGTCTTTCGTTCTTCAGTCGAAGAGACTTAAGGTTTTTGAGGAAAACATTCCAGGATTTCTCCATATAGTGTCTTCAATGGGGTCCAACGGGTCGAAGGTCCAGATGTGAGTTTCAGTGCAGCTTCAAAGTCTCGACACGATCCAGCCGAGGAACAAGAGTCTGATCTAGACAAACCAGCGGATATTTATAACAAAATAAACATTATATACTTTTTAACCACTAATGCTCGTCTTGCACCATCACTGAGATGCCAGTGTTTACAAGTCTGGAGTAGGAGGACCGTTTAAAGTTATTGTATGTTGAATGACACATATTTATATGTCTTTGTGTCCGTTTATTGTTTAAAATGGTCCTTACGTGTGCACAGGGCCTGAAGTTAACTCTTTTGGCCACCAGCCACTGTGGCAGGTGGATATCAAAATTCACCTGCCACAGAGACTTTTTACCAGCCTTTTTTTTTTTTTTTTTTTTGCCTCATAGCCTAAAGGTGAAAAACGGGAATTTCACAATATTGTTCTTTAACTTGTACACATTTAAGTGCTGTCAAGTTATTAACGAAATCAACATAAGTAATAATAACTCATAGAATATACATTTAAAAAAAATCTTTTTATTCATTGATTTTGACACACACACGCACAACAGATCTATAGACCTACCGCTGCTCGTATGTAACGTTAAACAAATCACCCGCGGCTGTGTTGATGGATGATTTAGTCACGTAGACAGCTAGGTCCTGACAGCTTTTAGTTACAGCGTTCAGGAACCGTTAAGCAGAACTAAATTAATATTATTACAGGTAAAGTTACCGGGTACTGGACCGGTTCCCAACTCCCAACATGTACTACAGTTGCACACGCACACGCACACATCTGTGCAACTGTCATTGTTCTGGAGCCTACGTCAGCGTTACATTATCTCATCCCATCTCACCAACAGTTAAATACTCGCACATCCAAACATAGTCAGAAAAGGGTCTTATCTTCTTTCTGATGGCATGAACGTTACGAAACAACAGTCGCTGTCATAAATCAGCCGCTCACGAACCTAGCTGTTGTCGCCAATTCACCACTTTGTATTAAAATCTCTTCTTTTACTTTTCTTTGACTCATCCTCATCTTTTTGTTGGTTGTTTGTTTCAGCTGGCCTTTTTACCCCAGTATATGTGCCGCCACATTATAGCTAAGGTCCAACGCAATGAAAATGAAAACGTAAAAAAAAAAACTAATGAATCACTCAATTCTCATTGGCTACCTGCCAATGGCAAAATTCACCCGCATTTGGCAGGTGGTCGGGTGTTAATTTCAGGCCCTGTGCGTATCCTGGATGTTTAACGATGTCACACGTGACCTTTCCAACGTAATGTGTGGCGCATCTCAGAGACTGTACAAGACGAGCATTAGTGGTTAAAAAGTATATAATGTTTATTTTGTTTATAAAATGTCCGCTGGTTTGTCTAGATGAGACTCTTGTTCCTCGGCTGGATCGTGTCGAGACTTTGAAGCTGCACTGAAACTCACATCTGGACCTTCGACCCGCTGGACCCCATTGAAGTCACTATATGGAGAAATCCTGGAATGTTTTCCTCAAAAACCTTAATTCTCTTCGACTGAAGAACGAAAGACATGAACATCTTGGATGACGTGGAGGAGAGTAAATTAAGTAAATTATCCTTTAAGATTCTTAACCCTCTGGTGCTCTCCATTTTTGACCGATTTGGTATGTGAACAAACTAGGGGTGTAACGATACGCGTATTCGTATTGAACCGTTCGGTACGAGGCTTTCGGTTCGCTTTTCGGTACGCATTTTTGAACCGAACAGTTCGTTGGACCATTTTTCCTGCTGTTAATCTGAACTAAAATAAACCTTTGTTTATAATTACTACAATATTACATTTCATTTTGTCCAAGGAGCTGTTTTGTTTTATATGCTCCTAAGAAAAGTCAAGTATAGCTCCATCATTGCTCAAACTTAAAAAAATATCATACTTTATGATGTTAGTTTTAATAAAAATTTAATCAAGGAAATTTTTCTGGCATTTCTTTCTTTTTGCTGTATCGGAAACGTACCGAACCGAACCGTGACACAAGTCTATCGTATCGAACCGAACCGTGAATTTTGTGAACCGTAACACACCTAGAACACACACACACACACACACACACACATGAATGAGTCGAGTTTCCTCTAGTGGAAGCGTTTGGTACTGCAGCCAAACACACTCTCACTGAAAGCAAATTTTTTTGAGATATCAACCTCAAATTTGGAGCACAACTTGTTTAGATTAATGGCTTTGATTTTCTCACAGTTTAAAGTAAAAAATGTTTATAAAAAAATATATATTTCATATAAAAATTGAAAAAAGTATTTTTGTGCATTTTCATAACAATAAACATAAATATTTCACTTTCAAGTTCGTTTAACCCTCTGATTATCTTCATTTAGGGTCTACACTTGTTATCTTTGGGGTCTCCAGGGACCCCAGACAATAACATTGCATTTTGTAACAGTATAATAAATTTTTTTTTACAAATGTAATTTTACTCTGTTTATTAATGTTTTTACTCAACATTTGTGCAGTTTTTGGAGGATTTTTGATATTTTTTAAATTTCTAAAAATAAATAAATAAATATTTAAATAAATAGTTTTTTTTTACAAAAAACAGCATTTTATGTAAAATTCACTTTATAAAGGACCCAGATTTCTAACTTTCATTTATGGGGATAACATGGATAATTGTACATGATTTAATGTAAGATTTTTGCCCTTTTTTTGGAAAATGAAGTTTTAAAATAAAAAAATTCACTTTAACCACTATATTGCTATAGAGCTCCATTATATGCTATTTGCTGTTTGATTAACCAAAATACATCTTTTCACAAGTTGGATTCAGTTGGATTGAGTTGGATTCATATATAAATATTTTAAAATCAAAATTATAAAAAAGAATTATATACTTTTGGTCAAAGTTTAGCATATTTTGTATTAAGTTAAGCATATTTTGTATTGAAAAAAGTTCTTCAATAATGTTACTTTATGATTAGAATCAAACCTGAACAAGATGTTACAAAAAATCTTGGAGTCTTTAGATTTTATCATTTATTTCAATTATCTGTTTTTAATATAATTCTATCATTTTTAATTAACGTTTCAGTTACAAACTGTAACAGAACAAAAAATAACAGAAATGAACAGTTATATTACATATTGAGAAAAAACAAACAAAAGTGCAATGAACTGAACAGCAATAACAAATGATCAAATAAAGCAGTAAAAAAATAAAATGGTTGTAATATAAAAATTATTTTGTTAAAAAAAACTGATTGGGAAATTTTTGTTTTTTGAACAAATAAGAACAACAATTGGTGGTGCACTGGAGGTGTTCACGAGTCAGTGCACTGCAGGCAGTATGCGTAGTACGTTGCATGACTTCTGCAGACACACATTCTGTGTGTGTGTGTGTGTGTGTGTATTTTCGTTGTGTCAGTGTCACCAATTTATATTTGTGGTGGTTCTGCATTTTATTTGACAAATTATAAGACTTTTTTTATAGCCTTACAAATGTATTTCTGTGTGTATGTGTATGTGTGGTTGTGTGTGTGTGTGTGTGTGTGTGTGTGGCGAGCATGATAATTTTGCATTGTGGATGTTTTTTACATTGTTGGAAGTGTGCCATTTCATTTCTGTCCATGTGATCTGCGTTGTTTCTGATTTTGATGATGAATATTATATATTTACTATGCGGGGTCTCCAGGGACCCCGAAGACAACAAGTGTGACTATTTTTTTCACGGCAACATAATAACAGATATCATTCCAATTTTTTTTTTCTTTTGTAGATCTATGAAGTGTTAAGAGCTGTAGAAAGTTTCATACCATTTGGACAAAGAGAACATTTTTTTTAATTTGACCAAAAGTCATTTGCGGGTTAAAAAGACCCCAAAGATAACCAGAGGGTTAAAAAAAAAAAAAAAAAATTTCCACTTATAATCTTCCAAGTGTCGTCTTTAAAAACAGACCAAACTTCAGTCTGAGCTCCAAAACATTCGAGATTTATGACGGTTTAAGCTGGAAATCCTAATCAGTGAATAAATGGATTATAAACTAGTGCATAAATATAATTGAGTACCATAAAATCCCCTAAAAATATTAATCAAAATATTAAATAAAAAGTATTATTGAACTAAAATACAGTGCATTCATTTCAATAAAAAAAAAAAAAAAAATCAAAATTACATAAGAAATGATAAAAAAACTGATAAACATTAGGAGAGTTTGTGCTTAAAACAAGAAAAAAAAAGTCAGAAAAATAAACTCGTTTTCCATTTAAATTAAATATATTTTCTTATATTTTTTTCTTCTTGTTTTAACCACAAACTCGTTTAATTTAAAAAAAAATTGTTCATTAAACAAGACTTTTACTTCTCAAGTAAATGGATCTTGATTTAAGAATATTTAGATATTTGTCCTGGAAAACAAGACAAAAATACTGAATAAGAAAATATTTGGTAACACTTTATTGTACAGTGTCCTTGTTACATATGTTACATGTATAGTAATAACAGTAAATTATCCATAATTACATGCAAGTAACCGCTTAACCAAATCCTAACCCTAACCTAACCTTTAGTAAATACATGTAGTTGCTTAATATTACTCAGTACTTAAATATATAATTACACTGTAACAATGACACCTTAAAATAAAGTGTAACCAAATATTTTTTTTTTGCAGTGTTAGAAAAGTAAATGTTTAGACTGATGGTTGAGCTCGTGATGTTTGCCCTGTGAAAACAGTTAAACAACCACAAGAACATGTCAACAGCTGTAGTTTTAAACAGCGGACCGAGACAATGTCTGACACCTGAGGGTTATAGCAATAAAACATATTAAATCTGAAATTAATATGAATAAGACT